TACATCACCACGCTGAGGCGCACTTAGCTTACGCACTAGCTCTGATTCACAGAGTGCATGAACTGGGGGAACAGATAGTCGTTGATGAGCTTGCTGGTTTTGTCGCCTACCAGTCAGTCGGAGAGTTAACTGCATCAAAACTAGTGCGTGGTCAGACTCAACGCAGGTGGTCCAACAGGACCTGCAATTTTGCACTGAGCCACGCCAACGGTAACTTACTGCTCTGTGTTCGATTTGAGTTAGCGTACCAGTTGAACTGGAGCGCCACGTTGCCGTCTGTCGAGAGCTGTCGGAAGTTGGTGCTGGATAGGAACATGATGGTCTGCGCAGAACTGAAGAAGTTGATCGCTGTTATCTGTTCGTTGGCAGGGCAGAGCACAACTACCACCTAGGCAAGCTTCTGATGCACTCAGTTTTCCAAACTGCGCGTTGAAGTCACCTGCAAATACAACTATGTCGGAGCTTCGAATGAGATCGGTGAGATCATCGTAGAAAGCGTCCTTTTGGGTATCAGAAATGCAATCAGTCGGTTCATATGCTGATACGATGAACAAACACCTTTTGATGTTGCTTTCCTTCCGGACGCCGACTGGGCCCTGAAGACACTGCACATAAACGACTGTTGACGGGGATCCAATCAATAAGAGAGGACTCCGCCCTATTATTCAGTAAAATACCTACCCCGCGCTGATCCTGGATTCGAGTTTCCGACACGCAGCAAATATCGATTCCTAAGGTTTACATTGTACGAGCCAGACAAGCTTGTTGACCTAGCTGCATCAAAGTCCTCACGTTGAAGGCCCCCTGATCAAGTGATTGACAGGGCTTTAGGAGCTGCAATCCATTCCGTGGTAAATCACTTACAGTGCTATTTGGCAATGACCTTTGGCGAGCGACATCCAAGTTGCTTGAGGGACTACTAAAGGTCGGAAGAAGGGGTAAAGGGAGAGGGTTGAAAACGGAAGAAAAAGAGTTAAAAGAAGGTTGGGATATCTGAGCAGTAGCCCACTTATCATTACCCACCCCGCTCGATGCAATGGGCAGCGCGGTCCTGAGCATCCTGCGCGACGACCGATGCAGTATGGAATTATTTTTATCTTGTGTATGCGTTAGGGTTTGGTGGACGTGTACTGCTAAGGTTTCCAGCCACTAAGCAGAAGAACGATTAGAGTTCTCGTCCAAAGCCTTTAGTTCTAACAAGAACCTAACCGCAAGGCAGCGGGTGAGGTGAAGTGGGGGACCATTTACTTGGATCAGTTACTCCACCGCTTTTTATCGAATGAAACGCCAATTCCAGGCGAACCCCCAACCTGGAGGACCAAGAGACTGAACTTCGTCTGACCTCTACCCATCGACCTTCCAGGTATAATAAGATCTGGCTTTATAAAGCCATCCTGTGTAGCTCGTTGGGTCACAGAGGTGCACAAGCCATCACACCACGTCAAGGGGTAGTCTCGTTGTGATGGCACGCTAATTCAGATCGACCACACAACAGTAAGCTACTGTTGGCGTGGTTCATTACAAAACTGCAGGTCTTATTTGACTACCTGCGTTGAATCTGATCATGCGTTAGTTTTGGTGCAGTTCACTCTCTAACTCATTGATCACAGAAAAACCCACCAAACTCGGTTGGCAGATCATCGTTTATCTGACTCAGCCGTTCATGCCCGTTTCGAATAAGAACTAGTGAAAGAGTTAAACGCGCTGCGGAGTGGTAATGTAGATGA